TGCAGTGGCAGGCAGATTCCCAACCACTGAGCCACCAGGGAAGCCCCACAACCCCTTTTAAGAAGATAGCTTTAGATCCGTTTTAGGATGAGGAAGCTGACTACCTTAGGTAACTTGCTTAGGTCACATAGCTAAGAAGTGGTAGACCAGGATTCAAACCCAGGCCTATCTCATTCTAAAACCAATGTTCTTCGTACTCCTTGGCCATGCAGTATTTGTTTTGTTTTTAAAATTTTATTGCAGTACAGTTGATTTACAATGTTGTTTTAGTTTCAGGTGTACAGCAAAGTGGTTCAGTTATACACATACATATATCCATTCTCTTTCAGATTCTTTTCCCATGTAGGTAATTACAGAATACTGAGTAGAGTTCCATGTGCTATACAGTAGGTCTTTGTTGGTTATCTATTTTATATATGTAATATATATGTATAATCCCAAGCTCCTAATTTATCCCTCCCCTCCCCGACATTTCCCCTTTGGTAACCATCATGCACTATTGTTTTTTCACCAGGGAAATTAGGTGTTCCTTGACAATCTTGTATCCCCAACATTGGTCTGAGTACCTGAGACCAAAGGATGGTCTGGAGGTAGTGACTGCTTCTTTTTTTTTTTTTAAATACTTATTTATTTATTTGGCTGTGCCGGGTCTTAGTTGCGGCATGTAGGATCTTCGTTTTGGCATGTGGAATTTTTGTTGTTGTTGTTGTTGTGGCATGCAGGATCTTTAGTTGCGGTATACGGGATCTTTCAGTTGCAGCATGCGGATGTAGTTCCCTGAGCAGGGATCGAACCCGGGCCCCCTGAATTGGGAGCACGGAGTCTTAACCACTGGACCACCAGGGAAGTTCCTTTGTGCGTGCTTCTTAGTGCCAATAAAATTTTGGTCCGCACGATCTTTGCTCTTCTCTCAGTTTACCTAGACTGAACAGGAGTTACTTTTTCTTTCTGCAAGTTTGTGCGTGCCCTGCCCTCTAGTGGTTTTGACTTGCAATGCAGCAATGACCTTGAGTGTAACTAACCTTATCTCTTACAGTTCTTTCCATCCCTTAAACAGGGATGTCCTTGCAATACTGGGCACTGGTGCCCTAAGATTTCTGGGGTACTGACACCTTCCCCAGTCTGAGCCCTAAAACCATGGTATTTCAAACTTTATTATGTACTTCTGATTGAGACGCTGGAATCTGAATTTTTTTGGGGGGGTGGAATCTGAATTTTTAACAAGCGCTAGATAATTCTGATGCAGGCAATCTGCAGTCCACATCTTGAGATCTAATGTTCTGTAACAGCTCTATTCTCAAGTGCTCCCTGAATCCCAACCCAAGCACACTTGGGCTTTAGGGAATCTGGTACCAAATTAGTCACTCTCCTTCACCAAACTCAGTATTGAGTTTCTGGGAAGTCATGGCTTGGAGGGTCAGGGAGAGAAGCTGCAGTAGCCCCAGCAGTTAGCCCATGCTGAGCGAGGTTAGCTCTTGCTGATCTGGCAAGGAGAAAAGTGAAGGAAGGTAGTGTTTAGTGCACCAACTGTGGGCCAGGTACTGTGCTAGGTGTTTTCAAACATATTCCTTTCTAAAACCCTACGATAAGCCATGAGTTTATTATTCATTCAATTTTGTAGATGAGGAAATTGAGGCTCAGAGATGTTAAGTATCTTCATCAAGCTTGCAACTGGTAAGAGTTGGAATTTGAATCCAAGTTTGTCTAACTCAGTGGTTCTCAATTGGGGGCGATTTTGGCCCCCAGGGGCCATTTGGTCATGTCTGGTGACCATTTTGATTGTCGTGGGGGGGTGCTAAAGGCATCTAGTGGCCCAGGGCTACCGCTAAACAAGCTACTATGTACAGGACAGCCGCCACAAGAAATTAGCCAGCGCAAAATGTCAATAGTGCTGTGATTGAGAAACCCTGGACTCAAAGCCTGTGCTTTTGCCCTATAGGGTGGGAGGGTGGGGACATGGAAAGTTAGAACAAAATGGGAAAGGGCCTACCCCAAGGGCCTTGGGTGAGAAGGAAATGGGACTTTTATGCTAAGGATAATGGAGAATGGGGGCAGCTGGTGAGATTTCTCTTTCTTCCAAGCTTGGCCAAGACCCTGCTCAGTTTCTCCCAACCTTGCCAAGTCAGTCCTGGGACTTCACACTAAGCTTGTCCTGGAGTGACCCCGACTCCCAGCTCAGGGCTGGGGCAAAATATTTACCTGAGTCTTCTGGCACAGGACTTCCCAGCCAAAGCCCCTGGTTCCTGGGGCCCTTGTGCTCCACCTGTAGCCCCTGGGAGGCTCCACAATAACACCTTTGCAGTGGGGGGTGAAAGTGTAAAACATGGAGCCGTGGAGGGCCAGGAGGTGTCTATGAACAGTTAGAAGTGGAGTAATGGGCAAAGCCAGGAGGATTCCCTTAGCAGGGCCCTTTCTCTTGAGCAGGAAGTAGGGAGCAGCTGGCCTGGGGAGCAGGGTTCTGACCCGGAGGAGGCTTGTTTCCACAGCCATTCCTCTTCTCTAGGTTTGGTCCTCAGCTTCACTGGACCTTCCCCAGTACCCATTCCTAGAGCACCCACACAGCCAGGCAGTCACCATTCTGGGCCTCCCCAGTACTGGCCTCCCAACTAGACCAGGGTAGGGCGGGTCTGAGCAGACAGTGCCGACAGGAAATACCTCTCGTTCCAGGCTCAGAGCCTCTGAAGAACTAACCAGCAGATTGGGGGAGGGAGAGGGGGGAGAGAAGGGGGAGGGAGGAGAAGGGGGGCAGGGGAGGGAGACAGTCTTGGAGTGAGAGGGGAGAGGAAAGAACACTCAAACAGGTCCCCCATATTTGGGGTTTCATCTCCTTCCTTCCCTCACCACCCATGGGGGGGTGGGGATAAAGGGATAAAGGAGGGCAGAACTGGAGGAGGATGTGGTAACAGCTGATTCGTCCCCTGAGGTCACACTTCCCAACAATCAGCTGTTACTGGGGTGGAAGGCAGGAAGTTTCCTTAAAGGCACAACGTTCTGAACACAGGTTCGGCATTCTGGAGCTCCTAGGAGCCATAGCAATCACTTGGTGGAGCCCCTCTTTAAAACGGAAGCAACTATCTCACACTCCAGGCTGTTATCTTCACCCCGCCAATTGGGAGCTTATGGAAAAGTCATGGATCCCTCTCCACACTTTCCTCTTTGGTGGTGGTGGAGAGATGCGAGTGATTGAGGTGGGGTGGGTCTCAGGCTTGCCCCTTTAACTAAGCGGTTCGACAGCTTTTGCCAAGTCATTGGGTTCCTTTCCATTTTTTGTGTTTTTTTCCCCCCCTTTGGCCCATCCTCCCGCCCCTCTATGCTCTGATTGGCCTCTGGGGAAGGAGCAGCCTCCTCATTGGTCTCCACCTTTGAAATCTCTTCCCTAAGTAGGCCTGAGACGGTGAAAAGCTTCTGGGGGGCGGGACAGAATGGGGGTATTGGGCAGAGGACGGGGTTGCTAGCCAGTTGCACTTTGGCCCGGCCCGGCCCGGGCCCTAGTTGCTGACCACAAGTCTTCCTTCTACCCTCAGGTGAAGACTCTGCTATAAATCTTTCGTTAGGAAGCTGCTGCTTGAGAGGCTTTGTCCTCTGTGACTGGGGCGAGACATCTTCTAGCAGAAGTCTCCTCTGATTAGGAAGGCTCCAGGAGAGGTGGAGTAGATCTCTCCATTGAAAGCTGGGGCCAGCCGAGGTGGGCAGTCCTCCCTCCCCCAAAAGCCCCCAGGAGTCCTCATTCCAAAGGAAGAGTCTGGCTGCCCTGGGGGCTGATTTCCACCTTCAGTTCTCCTCACTCCTGCTGCCTCTCTTCCTCCACCTTTCCTGAGAGATCTATCGCCTCCTGCAAGAGCTCAGTGAATCCGTTTGGGGGCTGTCTAAAAGAACCACTCACGGCTCCAAAAAGGAGGGGCTGTAGCCCTTTAAGGACCTCGCCGGGATGGATTCAGAGATGAGTTTAAAAATGCCAACTCACAGAGCGCGCTGGATTCTGGGAACGAGGTGTCAGACCGAGAACTACACTGACCAGTATGCACTGCAAACACACACGCCTTTACTTCCTTCTGCTTTTTAGGACTCGGGTTTGACGTAGCGCCCCTCTAAGCATGTTAGCCTAGGCGGAGGGCTGAGCCACACCTTTTCACCTATTGGCCAGCTCGCAACTTGGTGGGCGTGGCCTAGCGCTACTCCACTAGGCAAAGGGGTGGCTTCCTTGCCAGTCAGAGCTAAGACGGTCGGGGAGGCGGGACCAGGGCTAAGCGCTGGCGCCCTCGAGTGGGTGTGGTCACGCTGCCCAGCAGTGGGCGGTGATTGGCCCTGGGCGGTGCAATCGCAGCTTGTGCGTCACGACGCCGCCAGCTGATCGCAGACTGTAGCCGGTGTGTGCTGGGCGCTGGGAAGAGACAGCGCCGCCGGCCGTGGGGATCGGACGCACTGATTTGCTCCCCTACCCTCAGCACCCCCCCACCCAGCACCAGGTGGGTGTGAGATGGGGTCCCGGCCGCACAGGAGGGAACCATGCTAACGGGGTAATGGGGGAAAGTAGGGTCCTGACGGCCACACCCTGCCCTTCCGGGGGAGGGGAGAGGGGGCGGCGGAGGCTCGGGCGCTCCGGGGGAGAGGGGCCTGGACTGGCTGGAGTAGTGTGTCAGGAGGTTTAAAGAAGGAGTCCGGGACAGTAGGCGTGCGGAGGGTTTTGCTGAGTAGCTGGGAGAAAGACGAGGGGCCGGAGGGCTGGGGGCGGCTAACCTCGGCGCCCTCTGGTCGAGGATACGGGAGCCGGCCTCCCAGCTTGGGGAGGATTTGGACTGGGCGGGTAGCGGGGAGGTGCTTTGCCTCTACCGGCACTCATTGGGTCAGGGCCAGTTGAGCGCCCTGGCAGGGAAGGGGTCTCTGGGCGGGCCGGCCCCTCCTCTCGTTCCCTCCAGGGGATGTTATGTAAGGGGGGAGGGGAGAGGAGTAGGGGGCGGCGGTGCGGGGGGGGGCCTTATGCAACCCAAAGGTTACAGTTTCACCGCGGGTTGGTGGGGGGAGAAGGCAGGAGGAGAGCCTGGAAACTCTAACCCCCCCCTCCCCAGCCTAACTGGCCGTCTTGGGCCGAGAGAAGGTCACCTCTGCACCTCCCCCCAGCCTGTCCGGTTGTGGGGCCCCTAGCCCAGGCCTGGCCCTGACCGCCTGGGAAGCCGGCTGGCTGGGTGGGGCGCCTGGGTTAGTCATCACTGGGCTCCCTCTCTCCCCACCTCTCGGCCAACTCTTGGCCCCTCCCCGTGGCCTCTGGCTAGGCTATTGCCCCCACCTCCCTTCGGCTGTAGTTCCAGCCTCCAACTCATTTGGCCTGTCATCCTGGCTGTCAGACTGGGCTAGGAGCTGTCAGGGTGCCAAAGGGCTGATGGAGCAGCTGGTCAGAGGGTCAGTGCCCTGGGCCCACCCCGCCCTGCAGCCAAGGGCACCTGCTTGGCACAGACTCTCAGCAGCAGCTGAGTCCTATGGGCTGAACAGAGCCTGCTCAGACAGAGAGGAGTGGGAAGGAGTTGGACTGGTCACCTGGGAGAAGGAAGATACCACAAAGTTCATGCCTCCCAAGAGGGTTTTGTAATTTGAAAACCTCCCACCCTAATCTTTCTTACCCTCGGAGTATAGAAATCTCAAGGCAGGACCGCCTTGGCTCCTTAAACTGGCATGGGCCATGCCCTCGGACTAAGTGTCAGCACAGACCCACCCTCCCAAGCTCACAGCCCTCAAGTCTGCCACACCCCCAGCCCCCTCCCTGGGCCATGCTGCAGGGCCCGGCTTTTCCTGCTGATTCATGCGTTGGAACTGTGGGGGCGGGGCTTGGAACTTGGAACAAAGTTCAGACATGGAGGGGACGGCAGACAGCCTGGAATTCATACCAGATGTACCCGGAATGTGCAAGCGGAATGCCTGGCATTTAAGAGTCCTGGGGAAGCTGCCCAACCACCCTGCCCTACCTCCCTCCCCTCCAGCCTCTGGTCCCCTGTCTTCTCCTCACAGTCCCAGGAGCCTCTGCTGACCTTCTTCCAAACTCTAGACCTCCTCCCTTCCTCACTCTTCCCCAGATGTAAGCCCCCCAAAACTCTTCTTCCAGCTGAACTCCCTGGGACCAAGTCAGTTGGGCTGATCCCTGAACTCGCATTTCTGGATCTGAGGTACAGCTTCTCACCTAATACCTGGCTGACTGGTGAGGTGTGTCCAGGCTCCCAAGTCCTGCCCTCTCAGTGCTGAGGAGGCTGGGGGCCGCTGTGGGTAGCTGGGGCAAGAGGGGGTGGTGGTGAGAGCAGATATGGGTTTCTACAGCCTTCAGTTCTGGAAAGAGGAGCAAGGAAATAGGTTTAGAGCTGCCTCTTGTCTCTCACTGAGGAGCTCAGGTCAGAGCCAAGAACCCTTCATTAGAAGGTTGACCATCTTCTGGGGCTGCACTTTGATGGCCAGGGCAACAGTGTCCCTGTGACATGGCCCTGCTCAGATCTTCCCCATTTTTCCTTCCTTTCCCTTTAGGCACCTGTACCTCCCACATCCTCACCTGGCTGAGCCGCAGTAGTTCTTCAGTGGCAAGCTTTATGTCCTGACCCAGCTAAAGCTGCCAGTTGAAGAACTGTTGCCCTCTGCCCCTGGCTTCGAGGAGGAGGAGGAAGAAGAGAAGAAGCTGCCTTCCCCTCATCTGGAAGGTGACAGAACTGGGTCTGGGAAGGTCTGAACAGCGAGCGTGATGATACCTTTGGGAAAGGGAACCCTATTCAGCTGGAGAACCTTCACCCAGATTGAGCCAGCAGGAGAGAAAATTTCAGATTAGAGACCTTGGCTGAATTGGGGAATAGATGGCTCTGACTACACCCAAGGTTAGTTGGTCTCTGTGTGACAATGGGAAGAAGTGGAGCAAAGAAAACCCTGCCTACCCCTTTACCTAGATGTCTTTCCTGACCCTCCTTCCTTCCTCGTCCCCCCTTCTTTCCTACTGGCCTTTCCAAGTTCAAAAGTAAGTTTCCTCTTCAGGGAAAAGGTCATACTGAGACTCCCATCTGAGTAGTCATCCCCCTGCTCTTAATTTTTCCCCGTATTTCCTTAGTCTGGCCCAGACTCTAGATTCAGGGATACTTACCTCTATGTGAGACGCTTAGACCTCCTGTCTCATCTTCTCCACCTGTGAGGTGGGGCAATCACACAGTTGAGCATGCGTGAGGGAATCAGAAGCCCACTTGTGTGGACTCAGAGCCTGGGCTCTCCACAGTGGGTGGGAACAAAACAGCTTTTCACATAAGCTGTTGCCCTTCCCCCATCCCTGACCAGAACCCCAGGAGCTGGGGGTGGAGGTTGGAGGGAGGGACTAGGGTTAGACCAATGCAAGGGGCTGCTGGGAAATCAGTCTCTGCATTGACTTCCCACCAATCAAAGGTGTCCCAGGCTTCCCCTGCCTCCCAAAGCAGGGCTGCAGCCCCTGATGGGTTCCAGCTGCCACTGCTCTCTTCCCGCACTCACTTTTCCAGGATAGTGTGTGAGATTTAGCTCAGGCCTGTGCACGCTGGAAATTCTCCCCTCCAGCAACCAGAAGAGATAGGTTATGGGATGTAATCCCTTTAGGGGCATCAGGCAGAGTAAACTTGCCACCCCCAGCTCCTGATCTAATGTCACTCTAAGGCTCAGGCTCTGGTGTGGTTCAGCCTTGGCCCAGTCTCCCTGTCTGAAGGTGACCAAGTTCAGGGGTTACAGGAAGCTGTTTGTTCTATTTGGGGGCAGAAGTTGTGCAGGGAGCTGGGTCCTATTCTCCATTTATGAGAAACAGATTTAGGGCAGAGTAGATCACCGAACCCACCCTTCTGCAGCCTAAGCTGGATGTGTATGGGACTGTGGTAGAGGGGGGTGGGTAGACTGGTCCACTCATAGGCTGCCACAAGGGTCGCTCTGTCCCTAGACATTGCTTCCATCCTTTCTTCCCCTCCTCGCTTCACTGGCCGCAGTGTCTCCCTCCAGCCTTGGGTATGTGGCTCTGCCATCCTCACCCATCATGGAGCAGAAATGAGGAAGAGCAGCCTGGGAACACAGAGGCAGGCAGAAGACTAGTGAAGGACCAGGCCTGGAGAGCACAGGGCCCTGTCTGGACATCTGCTGAGGGGGGCCCATAGAGGCCAGGAGAGCCCCAGGAGGAGGGAGAACGGCCAGCCTCCATCGAGGACAAGCTTCCAGCCATCTACTTCATTCTCCGTTGCTCTCCAGTCGTTCTGCCTCCCTCAGAGATGTGGGACCATGTTAAAGCGTCCTTGGCTTCATCCTGCTGCTTCCACCTCTCCCCACCATGTAATTTAGCTGTGAAAGGACATATGCAGAAAATTCTTAAAAGAAATTCAAATGGATTTGAATGTGTGGGAAAAAATGTGTGCTTCATTAGTAATTAAAGAGAGGCAAATATAGCTGAAAGCATTTTTCCCGTAGCAAACTATAACAGAAAAAAAAATAAGACCCAGTTATTGGCAAAGGAGTACTAAAATAACACTCTCTACATTGCATATGGGCGTACAAATTGGTACAGCCTTACTGATGTCAGTTTGGTAATATGTATCAAACATCCTAAAAGTTTCCATGGCCTTTGACCTAGTAGTTCTACATTTGGGAGTTTATCCTAAGGAAATAATTAAAGATTAGTTTAAACGATGTTCATCCCAGCACTGCAGTAGAGAAAAATGAGAAGCAACTATCTGGTTGGGAATTGATTCCTTTTCTGCTATAATTGAAATTTGCAAGAGGGGGTTGCTTAAGTAAATTATTGTATATCCATCCGGATGGTGGGGTGGAGTGCTGCGCAGCCATTAAAAGTCACATAGAAGAACATTTGACTGCAAAGAAAAATGCTCCTTGAACATTCAAAAGGTTATAAAAATGGTGTATATTATGTGATCTCAATTTTGTTTTTATACGTAAAACAGTCTGAAAAAGACTGACGACATACTCCAAATTGTTAATAATAGTAGTTACCTTTGAATGATGGAATAAAATAGTTGTAATTTTTCTGTTTGGTTTTCTGTAGTTGCCAAATTTTCTACATTAATTGTGTATGACTTCCATATAATAAAATTTAAAAGAATTAGTGTAGGGCTTCCCTGGTGGCGCAGTGGTTGAGAGTCCGCCTGCCGACGCGGGGGACACGGGTTTGTGCCCCGGTCCAGGAAGATCCCACATGCCGCGGAGCGGCTGGGCCCGTGAGCCATGGCCACTGAGCCTGCGCGTCCGGAGCCTGTGCTCCGCAATGGGAGAGACCACAACAGTGAGAGGCCCGCGTACCGCAAAAATAAATAAATAAATAAAAAAGAATCAGTGTAATTTTTAAAACTTTTGGAGAGGTGGGTGTGGAAGAAATGAAGGGATGCCCCCAGCCCCATTCGTTTAATGGGGTTTTGGTGGAGGAGGAGGGTTGTGAGAACGTTTGGGGGAGCACCTATTCGTTTATGAATTTTATTCTTTGGGAGTGGCTGGAATCCACCCTCTCCTGTACAGGGAACAGCTCTCTGAATTGGTGACAGCCATCTAAAGAGGTGTGGAGTGGAGTAAGACAGAAGGAAAACAAGTAAAAACCTGTCAGTCTTCGGGAGAGGGAAATCTCCCCGGCCCCAAGGCCGAAAGGTTCTAGAATCCTAACAGTCCTGTCTCTAAAAGCAAGATGGGTCTTTGTTTTTGTCTTTGATTCTGCCCCAATCTTGAGGTGACCCTGTGTGACCTCTCCTTGCCTCCTCAGATTGGAAGAGATACTCACTTTCCCCCTAACAGGTACCAAGCCCTGGGGGAGGGGTGCTTTTCAAGGCTATAGGGCTGAGTGGTTCCTTTTTGCCTCCCCTTCCTAATGATAAGGCTCCTCTGGAGGGCCCCCAAAAGAGCTTAGGGGAGGAGCCCCGGTGGGTCGCTTCTGCAAAATGGGAGCTGTTGTTCCCTATGAGAGATACTATGTAAGGGCGCAGGACACCTGGAGTTACGGTACGGGGTTGCTGGGATGTGTTAAAGGTCTGGAAACCTCGTAAGTGGTGGCTCTAAGGAAGTGAGCTGCCCCCTTCCCCACAACCGAGACCGGGGTGGGGCGCGGGGCAGACTGGTGGCGAGGCGTAAGCACGTGGGAGTGGGTTTGCTCTGGCCTCTAACTTCAGGGCTGCGTGGGTGGGGTGGGTCGGAAGAGCAGCAGGTGAAAGGTTAGAGAGGGGAAAGGAGGGGAAAGTTAATGGGGCTGGGCCTCTGGGAGTGTCAGGTGAGATTAGTCACCCATTTCTGGATTTGCGAGGACTTCGGGACACATGGGGCTTGGGAAGACCCCTATCGACATCCCGGAAAGCCTCCCTGAGCTCCGTTTCAGGGTTTGGTCCCGGGAAGCCCCCTACCAGACATCCCCCGCTGGGGCGGGACACGATCGGTTGCTGTGGCTCCAGGGGCGGTGGCCCACGGCTGCTCCAATCACCACCCAGCCGGGGGTTGGGGGCGTGGACGAGCCCTAGAAAAGTTAAGGCGGAATCCGTAGGCGGGGCGGGCGGGGGAGTCCAGGGGTGCAGCCTTGCCGGGAAACTGGTTCGCAGTCCCCGCAGGGGGCGTTGGATGTGTCGGGACTGAGAGCTCAGGAGCCCAAGGGACGGATCCGGACCTAGCCAGCCCGCCAGGCCATGGCGCCCTCTGGGCTCCTCGTGATCGGCGCCTCCTTCGCCGCCTTCCGGGGGCTGCACTGGGGGCTGCAGCTTCTGCCCACGCCGGGATCTGCTGCCCAGGACCGTTGGAAGTGGCGGAACATCTGTGTCTCCCTGGTTCACAGCCTGCTTACGGGGGCCGGGGCGCTACTCGGGTGCGGGGCTTAGGGGTTTGGGAGGCACCGTGGTGAGGGTGAGAGAGAGGGGTGGAAGGCTGAGATTAGAAGACCCGGCGGCACCTTTAGAATCAATGTGAGGCCTCGAGAGTCTGAGACTGGGGTGGGGATGTAGATGGGTGGGCGGTGTGGATACGTCCACGGCGGGAGAATAAGATCTGGGTCTGCACAGACGCTGACCATTGCTCCCCCATCTCCTCCAGGCTGTCGCTCTACCCTCAGATGGCCGCCGACCCGATTCATGGCCACCCGCCCTGGGCCCTGGTGCTGGTGGCTATATCTGTGGGTGAGTCTGCAGGGAAGGCTGAACCGGTTTGGGGTGGGGGACAACCTTCCAACGGTGGGGTCTCCTTCCCTGGCCCGGCCCGCGATGGGGTTAAATGTTTCTGGCGGCTTTACTGAGAGAAACTCAAGAGCTGGGAAAAGGAGGGAGTGGAGATTCCTCTCCAGACGGTACGCTGGCTTGGAGGAAGCCTAACACCACCCTCCCCTCCTTGCCCCCAGGTTATTTCCTAGCCGATGGAGCTGACATGCTGTGGAACCAGACGTTGGGCCAGGCCTGGGAACTTCTTTGTCACCATTTGGTGGTGAGACTTGGGGAGAGGCAAGACAGGAAAGGAGGGATGCCTAGCCTGGGGTCCCCAATCTCTCACCAATTTTCTGTCCTATGACTTCCCAGAGAGTCTGAGCCCTGCTGGTGCTTGATCCTCCCAACCTTAGGCTGAATTGGGGGGGAGGGGATTGACTGCTGGCCACTGCTGGGAGTCTGAGCACTGTCTGCGGAGATTGTATTCCCACAGGTGTGGGAAACGTTGACTATGGAGCTTTTCTGAGGAGAGGGAGCCCCAGTATAGGGCGTGGGGATGGGTGTGAAAGCACAGGAATGCAAATGAAGGGGGTGGGGTTCCGTGCAGATGCTACAGCTCCAGGGGAGACAGCCTAGGCGCCAAACCTGCTTCAATTCTATGGAAGGGTTGTTTCAAGCCCATTCAGGCCCCTACCATAAGGGTAAGCATAAGATAGGGTTTCGGGGAGGGGTGCCCCAAAATGCTTGGGAGCCCCTGTCAAGGACTGGGATATTGGAACATGATGGGTGGTAGGTCATGGAAGGTCCTCTGACCTCTGACCTTGGCTCCCCAGGTAGTGAGCTGCCTCAGCACCGCCATTCTCTCTGGCCACTATGTGGGCTTCTCTGTGGTGTCTCTGCTCCTGGAGCTGAACTCCACCTGCCTGCACCTACGGAAGCTGCTGCTGCTTTCTCGCCAGGCCCCATCCCTGGCCTTCAGTGTGACTAGCTGGGCCACCCTGGCTACCCTGGCCCTCTTCCGCCTGGTTCCGCTGGGATGGATGAGTCTGTGGCTGATCCGGCAACACCACCAGATACCTATTGCTCTGGTCATCCTTGGTGGAACTGGACTGGTCACTGTGGGTGCTACGAGCATCACACTGGGTGTCCGCATTTTGGTCAGTGATGTCCTGCGGTCTCGGCCCCGCCCACCCATCCCTGAGCACAAGGAAACCAAGGGCACCAGGACTTGTTGCGATGGTGAGCCTGTCACCAGGGATGATTCTACTCTCAACCTGAAAGACTGAAGAGAAGCCTCAGGCTCCTCCTCTGCCAGTCCTGGGGGAGGTAGAACCAGGACAAGGAGATGGTGGTCTTCAATACACTGTCCCCCAGGGGTAAGGCCTGGACTGGGTTTTCAGTATCTCAGTTCCTCTTCCAGCTAACTCCTGCATTCCTAGGATCTGAGAAGAAATGCTAATAATATTCATGGATGGGTGGGAACCTGAGCTATTGTTCACTGAATCCCATCATCAGTTGACCGCCCTTTCCAGCAAACTAACTCCAGAGGTATAGCCTGTGTTACCAATAAAGGGTGGCAGGATGCGTGAAGCTGGATGAAAGTGCCAATGGGAACAGAGACCCTTCGCTTTAGCACAGGAACGGATGAGGAAAGATGAAGTCCTACTAGGATCAGAGAGAGATCTAGTACCAAAGGGGTGGGGTTGGAGAGAAGAGAGACCTCACCTATGACCAAATTATGGCAGAGGGAGGAGGGCACAACAGGTGAACAGGTGCTATGCGTAGCCAGTAGGGATGGACATAACGGTTGCCAAGAGACAGAAGAAATTGGACCACAACAACTGCTGGTGATATTTCTGGTTCTCAAAGTCACACTATTCTGTTTGTACTTCACCTTAGTCCTACTGTGTCCAGCATGTTCCTTTTGCTTTTTTTTTAATGTCTTCTGACCTTTTCAAAGAAAATGCAGATTCTTAGAGGAATGAGCACGGGGCTAGGTCTGTCTTCTCAGGACTGTACCGAAGTCCAGAGCCATAGCAGGAACTCAACCACCCGTTCTGGGTGCCCAGAGTAGGGTCTTCCCAGGGCCAGGCTTTCATGGAAGAACGAGGGCAGAGGCAGAAGCAGATGAGGTACGGCTTCCGCTCAGCTGCAGAGGAATTAAGGAATATCTGACTCTCTTCTGGGATTCATTTGCAAGCTCCCCTTTCTCCCCTGCTACTTCTACTGCATTTTTTTCTGTTGCACAAGACCCCTCCCTTCTTCAGGCAGAACATCCAGGTTATGGGAAGTGTAAGCAGATTAAAGTTGCTATTCTACTAAACAATGGACAGAAATAGATAACCCTTAATTATCCACAGAAAAGATACATGAGCAAAAGCCAGAGACAGGAAGATGAACGCATAAAGTGGAGCTTGAGAGAGACAAAGGGAATGAAAGAAACAGACATGTACTGATTGAAGGACAGATAGAAAAAGATTTGCTACAGAAACGAAGAGAGACGGAGGGCAAGACAGAATCCTTGGCAGAAATAGAGAAAGTCTGTTATAGATGCAGAGAAGAACGAAAATCATAGAATTGGTTAAATGGTCATAAACAAAGAGGACAAGCAAAATGGAAATAAAGGCTGACAGGAAGGGATCCCAAAGGTGGAAGGTACAGATAGTCTAGACAGTGAAACAGGGAGAGTGAGTGACAAGGAGGAACCACCAGATTCCCAGGAGACAGAGGTAATAGTGGCTGGTAGATTAGCAGAGGGAGACGAGAGAGAGGTGGAAATAGAGATGAGGGGGATGAGTCAGGGGAGCTGAGAAGCAGAAGAACAGAAGGTGGAGGAGGCAGTCAATGGAAAGATTCATTGACAGAAAAAGCA